GGGCTGGGCGAGCCATTGCCAGCGGTGGTCACTGCCATGTCAATTGGCGCCATGTGTGCCGCCCCCTTGAGTATGGTGGACTAGGGGTCCGTGACCTGGAGCGCACTGGTCTCGCGCTGCGTCTGCGCTGGTTGTGGTTTGCCCATGTTGATCCGGACCGTGCTTGGCAAGGCCTCGACCTGCAGTTCTCGCACGAGGAGCGCGCGCTATTCTTCGCCTCCACTACCATGATCATTGGGAATGGCTTGACGGCGCTGTTTTGGGAAGATCGCTGGATTGATGGGCAGTCCGTCTGTGAGGTCGCCCCTCTGCTCTACCAATGCATTCCCAAACGACGACACAAAGTCAGGACGGTGGCAGATGGGATGGCAGGTAACTCTTGGGTGAATGATATACAGGGGATCCTGGGCCTGCATGAGATCGGCCAATACTTGCTGCTTTGGCAAGCAGTGTGTCACACCACCCTGACGAGCGAGTCGGATCGCTTGCTCTGGAGGTGGACTGCCAACGGCATATACTCGGCGCGCTCGTGTTATGCGGCCAGTTTTCAGGGATCCACACATTGCCCTTCCTGGCAGCTGGTCTGGAAGAGCTGGGTGCCACCACGGGTTAAATTCTTCCATTGGTTGGCCGCCCAGGATCGCTGCTGGACTACTGAAAGGCTTGTGCGATGCGGATTGCAGCATCACCCTCGATGCCTTCATTGCGACCAGGCCATGGAGACTATTCAGCACCTGTTCCTGCCCTGCCCCTTTGCTCGCCAGACCTGGCATATCATCCTTGACTGGCTGCATATTCCGGCCCCAATTCCAAATCAGGAATCCACGGTCATGGAGTGGTGGCTGCGTGCGAAAGAGCTCACGCCACCTGCGCACCTGAAGGCCCTCAAGTCCATCGCGCTTCTTGTTCCCTGGATGTTATGGAAGCACAGGAACGCGTGTGTCTTCGACAACACCACGCCATCCTTGGAATTGCTAGTGGATAGGATCAAGGACGAGATCCAATGTTGGGCTAAGGCTGGAGCCCAGGGGCTTCGGGTTGTTCTGCCCACAACCTGGGACGTCCATTGATAGTTTGTATGACTCTGTAACGCTCACCTCCTAGGAGGCCTGTTCTACCTTTCCCATGAAATGAAATGCAAAGGCCTTTTGCGTTTTCTCGAAAAAAAAGAATGTACACAAAAATGAGTTCACTAGATAATTCTTTCAGTTCCATCTGGTTTGATAGACCACATTGTACAACTTTCCACAGTTAGGTTCTTCACAGTTAGTAATTTCTATAGTATAGACTGCTTGTGAAACGGTTTGTTTCTATTTCTGGAGCTGTTCTCATTCGTCAGGGATTGTATTTAGTTTAATATAAAATGTTCATTTCCTTTTGAGTGTCGAAGCAAATTTTTTGGTGCCAAGTGCAGATGGACTCTCGTACCCTTGCTGTGGAGTTCGCACCTTTGATCATATGGCAGCAAGGGGATTCTGGAACAGATTTGCGGAATCATCTCAGATTCACACTGAAACCACCTCCAAAAATTGTGGACACAACGACAAGTACCACTACATGGGACTTGCTAGGTAAATTGATTTCGTCTAAGAGAATCCAGAGATTTTATATCGGTTGAAGGCTGGCGTTGGTTTCCCTTCATTAGCACAAGGGGGAAGCAATTAAGTAGATATTTCGACTCATGTTATCAAACATGCTTGATGCCCTATATCTGGTTGTCAAGTTATTGTGAATGCTAACTATCTAGTATGAATTGATAATTGAGGCTGTGCTAACTGCCAAGAAAGTTGTGGGCGTGAACGAGGGGTCAAACTTAATCCGAAAGCCAATTTAAGTGTGATTTAGCCACCCATCTTTAAACTGCCAAGTAAGAAGTGTCCGTGAATGAGGGGTCAACCTAATCCAAAGACAGATATACAAGTGTGAATATATAGGTGTCACGTCTGTAAACCAGCTTCACATTTCATCAACTAAGAGACCCACTTAGAGACTTGTGACACCTATATATGCTCCAGATGACCCAAACCTTGTTATAGTTAGGTTGTGTTGATCCAACATTCGAGCTACTATGTGTTGTGGAAGAGGGGAGGGGGGATAGGTGGCCAATCTTGTAGTGGATGGTCCAATCCAGACTTTCTTGTGAGCAGAGGTGGTAAAAATTTAGTCCTTAATCTTTTTTATCTAACTGTTATAATCCAACGTGGTTTGGCTTATATGATTGCAGATGAGGATGATGTGGATGCTTCGTCGCAAATCCCCTTGGACGATGGTTCGCCTCCAGACTATGGTGCTATTGAGGTGATCCAGTGCTTGATTGAGCATCACAATCCCATATTCACGGATGCAAACGAGACTGTATGGAGATGACCTGACCTGGCCGGCTCCTCTTTAGATTTCTGTGGTATTTAGCTCGTGCTATGTACAAGTTCCAAGTAGTAGGATGGAGTGGAGTGCCGCGAATAAGTCTAGTCACGGGGACACGCATTTTGGTCCAAACTTTTTTTGTCTTGTTTTGTGGGAGTAAAAGTAGGAACTGTATATATTAATTGTCCACATGACAGAGTTGTCTTGTGGGATTTGCCTCGACATGGCTCGTCAATAATGTACCATGATTCTTGTGCTGTATGTCACTACTTGGGTTGTAGACAAATTGCTGGACGTGGACGCATTTGCTAAATTCACTTCAGGTAATTACCAATCAGAAAGTGTAGGGCCTCTTTGATTCACATGATTTTGAAAATGTAGGAATAGGAAAAGTATAGGATTGCAGTGGCATGTCAACTTGAATCCTATAGGATTAGCAAAGAGTGTTTGATGCTACATGAAAAACAGAGGAATTGTAAAAAGAGGTTGGAGTGAATGTTAGATTTTTTATAAAATGTAGTACAAAAGATTTCATAGGATAAATTCCTATGGGATTCAATCCTATGAATCAAAGGGCCGACATAGAAAAAATTTCTAAGGGTTTCAATTCTCCAAAAATTCTAAAGAATTTCTTTGAATCAAAGAAGCCCGTAGTTGGCACCGTGCCTTCAAAATGGTGTACTGATACTTCCGTCGGTAACAACCTTGCTTCTTGTGCAGGAATAAGTTTTTTACAGTTACACGAAACGAGGCGTGGAAGTCTGACGGCAGTGAGAGGCTACAAGTGTTCATTACTTTGCGTCATAGTTACTGTTGAATTTGACAATGTTCTGTATGCAGAAAGAGCACGGGCGACAGAATGTTGCATGCCCCAACAAAGCACCCTTTGATCTGTGAGATTGAATGATCCATATCTATGCTTAAAGCAATATTACTTAATCCCTTCGTGGCGGCTTGGGTGGAACTCCAGAATTTGCCTCCTCGACGCCGCGGGGCTAAGGCCCTCTTTGGTTCGGTTGTGGATTTCTAAAAGTAGCTGTGAAAAATTTGCTGTGGAAAAACAGTTGTGGGAAATCTGATGTGAAAAAGATGTAGGTCATTTGGCAAACGATACAACTTTTTTAGATTTTGGCCCGCACGGAATCAGATTTTGAAAAGCACGTCCTGGACTGTTTTCGCTTTTGGTTCAGATTTTGGCAGCGGATTTCTGGAATCGGATTCTGCTGGGTTCGTCCTTTGGTTCAGATTCTGCTGCGCGGCAGCGGAATCCGTCGATAAAAGCTGAACCAAACAGGGCCTAAGCCTGTGCAGTGGACAACTCCTTCTCCGGTGTTTCACCTCGAGGCAGTGGCCTCCCGCGAAGGTGGTTGCTCACTCTCGGCAGCGCAGCCATGCCCTGCAGCTTCTTCCTCCCTCTTGGCGGAACATTGGCGTGGTGTGGCTGCCGGCCGAACATTGGCTGAATGGCTGTGTAGCCATGATGGCGCCATCTCGTCGACATGGCGTGGCTTAGGGAGAGCCCCTATTTGCCGCTCTCCGCAATAAAATGTCAGCAAATCGCACAGAGCGAGTGACTAGGCTGGCCCATTTGGACCAGAGTGTTTATTTCTGC